CCCCCCCCCCCCCTCAGTTTCAACTGCCATCGTCCTTGATGTCTATCGTAATACCCAATTCCTCAGATCCGTAATCGCCTTTTCAATCTGCTTACTGCTTGCTTCAGAATTTTCTGCTAGCATTAACCCTAACCCTGTTTACATTGATTTACTTTGTAAAAAATGAAGGGAAAAGGGTTGAAGTGAAATTCATTATTCCTCTTTCCATTAAAGTCATATAAGCTTAAATTTAAAATTTAAATAATTATTCACAAGTAATTTATCCTATTTTGACATTGGGTATAACAGATAAATACATTATGCAATCTATGTATATCCACTATTACCACCCATGACAATCCTGGAGGCGTTTACCATAATTAATTTTGTTAAAGTTATATATACTTCAAATCGCCGTTCAAGAAAGCAGTACAATTGTCACCTGTTACCTTGAATAACAATTCTTCGGCTAATAACGTGAAGATAATGCTGTCAATGGAGAGAAAAATGTGTATTTGGGGTAAGGATTGTTTCAATGTGTCTGGTGAGGATTTTTTATAATTTGCCTTTCTCTCTATTTTCTCGCTGTAATATTTAAAGATCTCTTCATTCATTTCAATATGGTGTTTATCAAACAATGATTAATAGTTCGTCTTTTGCGAATCAAACGAATTTGACAATAAAGAAGGAAACGTGTTGCTGAATTGATAATGATAAAATCTTACCTATCTGATTCTGGGATAATATTTATTTTTATCAATTGGCAGTCGTTTAATTATGCAAAGATTCTTGGCTCAATCTTCAAGAATTAGTTTCTGGGTCAAAGAAAGGGATGGCTATAGCCATACCGGACCAAACGGAACAGTTTAGTAAATGTAAATATTGATCATAAATTTCTTGAGACTGGAAATTAGAAATTTCCTGCTTTTTTAAATACGATAAATAAAAAATCACGATTTTTGAATTTAGGATAATTTTATATGTCCACAAAATATGACTGGCTGACTTTTGCTTGCATATTTCCGTGGGTTTAGTTGGATTAGGGTTTCCCTACAGAGCAGTAAATTTAATTTTCCGTCTTCAAATTTAAGAGTTTATTAATTACCTTCATAAGTTAGTTCAAGTACTTCTTCCAAACAGGATTTAAAATCAATACTACACATAACTTGGACTCCACAATCGATCAACTTTATTCAATTGCTTTTAATTTACATTCGTGATTGATGCTAACAATGGGTAAAATGATTTCAAAAATAGTTATGAAATTCTATAAAAATAGCAAATGCAATATTTATAAGGTCTTATTCCGACTATGTGAAGTTATGCCTTGGAGTTACAAATTTGTGGCCAGATATGCTTTGTAATTTAAGAAAAAATGAAACATTTTTCATCATGAAATTGCAAAATAAAGGTTTTATTCATAAGATGGAGAAGAAGTAAAAACGTCTCCAGTTGTAAATAAAAGGTCTCGAATTGAACATTAGCGTCAGAAGTTGTTCTTAGGCCCTTTGATTTTCGGAAGTGCGGGTTGTGCACTTTCTCATATTGGCAAAAATTCATTTACTAATCATCAAATGCTCTCAAAATAGGTTTTCATAATTTGCTGTTTTCTGAGTCCGCTTACACTCATGTCCGTCATATTCACAGATTAATTTCTGTGAATTTAATTTCTTTGTTTTCCGTATTAATTCAGTTTTCTTTTCTCTTCTCATGCCACGTTTTGATGGATGACACAAGCAATGGAATTTTTTGAACAGGAAATACAGTTGAATAACTCTGCTGAATGTTTTTAGGTATTTTTTGCTTCTTCTTTAAGCAACCATCCATTTTATTGCCCATTACGACACAAGGGAATTCATACTTTCCCCTGCGTGACCTTTCGTACAAGTTTTTTCCCCTGACTAACCAAATTTATTTGCCTTGGCCCTAAAAATGTTTACATCACTTTTGACACATTGACTTTGTTAAAAGAGCCTTGAATAAGTTTTTTTCACAACACATGCGAAAAAATACCTGTGTTCTGGTAAGAAAATGAATTCAATGGATCATCAAGAATCGGAATGGCTTATGTGCTAAAAATTTATTTATTTATTTCAAATGGCAGGCATATTGGTAGTCATCATTAGCCCTTTAGCTGACTTCGGATTTCACAGAGTGGGGGGGGGGGATATCATAGTGAGAAAAATTCGAGAGGGGGGAAAGAAGAGTGATTTACAGATGAA